CCGCCAGCACGGCCATGGAGGTGGGGGTGGAGGTAGGGGTGGCAGACTGAGAGAGGTTCATGTTGAGGTCAACAGGGGTCGTGACGGAAGCGGTCTGGGTGCTGACTTTAGCCATCTCTAAGCTGCAAACGAAGAGAGGAAGAGGAACAAACAGGTTGGGAGGGTCCAGCCAGGGCGGTGGGGCCGGGAGGAGGAGGAGGAGGAGGAGGAAGGGACGGAGGGAGGGAGGGACGGAGGGACAGCAACCACGAAAGGGCAGGATTAGATCGGTGGACGAGGGGGACAGACAAGAGGGAGGGAGGGGGGGGAGAGAGAGAAAAAAAGGGAAAATGAGGGTCAAAGGAGGAACATGTTATGTGTTAAAGAAGAGAAATAACAAAAGGGTTTTTCATGATTCGATGGCGAAAACATTACTGAGACTCTAAAGTTCTTTCCAAAAAAAAAAAAAAAAAAAGAGGTGGGGGGGGTTTGCTAGTTCATTTTACATATGAAAAAAGAAATCTAAGGAATGCAGGTAATGGCAAAAAGATGGAAAAAGCAAAACTTAAAAGAAAACTTAAAATAACTATGAAGTTTACTCCCCAGCACTAATACGGTGAATTTTGCTTTTCAAAATTACGGTATTTTTGAAAGGGGGACGCGGGGGGTTTTGGTAATTTTTTCAATTTGTCAATTTTGTGGCATAAATAGTACCTTTGTCATTTTGCTAGGATGAGAGGAGACTGAGCAATGATTTGCTGCTTCCATCTAAGGCATAAAAGTTTTGGTTTGGTTTTTTTTTAGAAAGTTAGTTTCTCATTTCATTCGTTGTGAGGTCAATGTGCATTTTTCATATAAAACCTGATTAGCCAGTGTGTTCACTTCGATTTGTACTTTCCTCAGACTTTTTTTTTTTAAAATCACAACAAAATATTTATGCAATCTAATGATAAGAAAATTAGTGAAAAAGGAGACTGAAAACCACCCCGGCTTCCACAGCAGCGGTATCCTTTCTGAGCTTGTGGCAGTGGTTACAGTGAACATAAAAGAGCTTATCAGCTGACAGACAAGGTACTACATGGATACAACATACACATCATCAGACGGACCCCGCCAGCACAAGGAAGTTCAGATTGACCCGCGCTCCGAGCCCAAGGCAGTGACGGGCTCTTTGGAGGATGTAGGTATCAAACCACCTTCACTTTAGTCTAACTCCACCCATCGGCAGGCAAGATGAGGCTGGCCTGTGTACTTAGGCTTTTCTGTACATTTTTACACATTAAAATACAGTAATTCCAAGGACGCGTTGTTTTTTTCAGATGACAAAATGTTTACCTAGATAAATCCTCCCTTTGCCGTGTGTTTGTTGCAGCTTATGCACTGCGTTTTGGGTCGGCAAGCAACCTAAATACTAATTTCAGGATGCATTTTGCATGTGGCCAGCTGGGCCATATGGCAGGCTAGCGTATAAATGGGACTACGGGTTAGAAAATCTTTGCTAGCTACAGTTATACACGTATTAATTCCAAGTTTTTTCAGTAATGACTAACTTGTCAGGCTCCTGGGCTTTCTCCTGAGGTGAGCTGAGGAGCTGCAACAGCTTCTCCCTCCCAGAGCAGAGCACCCAGAGCGACCGTCCGGCTGCGGGGAGGACCTGCATGGCGGAGGACCTGCCGCTTTCCTATCAAGTCCCATCAGTCCCAGCGCAGGGTTTGTGCTGGTCCCTGTGGGCGCTGGGGGCTGGGCGTGCGGGGTTAGGGAGCAGCTGCAGCCGGGCTCCTTGCCCAGGACAAGGGAGGGGTGCACGGTCGCCCTACTTAGGGCTTGGGAGAGCCTCGCTGTTCCTCACCTGAGGCTTATGTGCAGTTTCGAGAGCAACAGCCCCTGATCTATTCGTGACCGGAGAAAGGCAACAGCCAGAAGGCCTGCCCGCTTTGCGCAAGGGCAAGGATGCAAGCGATGAACCAGCTCTATATAGGGGATGGGGACGCTGGACTAAAGCTTCCCAAAACATTGCTGCTGAAGGTGAGTCTAAAGTATAGCTGAAGCAGGTCTGAGCCGGGGAGAGGAGAGTGGAGGAGAGATGGAAATGCCTGAGCACCGAGCTCCTCTCTTCACCGCAAAAGAAAGAGGGCTCTTGGAGTATTAACTCCTCGTCGGCTTTTGCTGGGAATTTGGAAGGCGCACGGCTTCTCTGAGGGTCTGGGAGGGGAGGAGGGCGAGTGCATGAAATGCAGACCCATTTATAGGAGGTAAAGCTTTGGTTTTCCTACCCTGCGGGGTTTATCTGTCCCCGTGGATGGGCATCTCAGATTTTTTCTAACCTCCGCAGCAGAGTTGCTCTTTGCAGAGAGAAGAGCATCCTTGTGCTGTTAACTGTACTACTTGCAATCTACTCGCATAGCAGGATTTACATCAAGAATACTTCTTTCTATCCACTGAAATGGTGGATCCAACACCAGCGTACATCCTCGACTTGGGGTTTAGGGGTTACATGGTGATACCTTAGTAGGTTTTTAAAAACTCAGTTTATACAGTTGGATTTTTTTATATTTCTAACTCAGTTTTATTCTGGGAGGGAGGCATATAGAAAGATAATGCAGGACTCAGTGTTTCAGTGACTCCAAATTTGCCTACCTTGCATTTAACAAAACCAAACAAACTCCTACTGATGCAGATGATATTTGAGCCTGAGCTTTTTCCTGCACCAGCAGGGAGAACAGATCCCACAGACTGGTGTTGGTAGCAGCCACTCAAACTCCCTGTCTCTGGTGTACTCGCACAGGTACAATTAAAGCTCTAATTTGCCCTGCTTCACATTTACTACTGGTAGTAACGCATAAGGTGAAAGTACGTCAGACTGGCTATCAGCTGTCCTCTGACAGCGGCCGGTTCCCAAACCAATTGTAGATGCAACAAGACTGAATGTGAAAGTGGATGAGGCAGCCTTCATACAGAATTTCATGGTGCCAGTTTTACACTGTCCCTTTGAAGAACTACACTTTATGAATATATACACCGAAGGCTACATCCTGCATTACCCAAAACTGGTGAAAGGAATAAAGCTCGAGTGTGGCTTTGGCGGTCCTGCTAGCTCTGTGAATGAACCTCTCATCAAAATGGCAGTAAAAGATGTCTTCAGGAAACTGCTCTTCAACAAGGACAAAGTACTGCTGGCTACAATTCATTTACAAACCAAAGTCAAATATTACACAGGAAATCTAAACTGCAGTTCATTCTTAATAAAAGCTAGAAGATGGAATTGGATAATGAAAATCCAGTTACTACAAAGGAGACCAGTTAAAAGACAGAAGATTTTACAGGAACAAAAGACACTTCTATTGCAAACTAGCTGGGACACGTTCTACTTGTCGGGTGATCAATACAGAATCAAAACAATACTTTAGAAAGATCTAAATCTCTATCTTGATAGTGTATCAATGTATTTATATATCTATAATTTAGAGTATATTATGTACATATTCAACACCAGATTGCAATAAAAGTCTTAAAACAACTTGATAAATTATTCTATAGATGGAAACTTTGGTTGGAGGATAGTTTAAAGATACACACAGATTGTTTCAGGAATACAGTGGATAGCTTTTTCTCCTTACATCCTATGCTGCTGTGAGACACTGATTTTTGCAGAAATACTGGCCCTGGAAACCAAATCCATGAGAATGACAGATCTTGTGGGGGAGAGAAGAAAAAAAAAGTCCGCCTTACCCTGAATGCTTATATAGCTTTTGTTTATTATAATTATCATTTTGACATACCAAGACTATACCTTGGGCAGTCTAGGTACTACTGTACTCAGCTCTTCCTCAACACTGTCTATTTCATGCCAACATCTTTAAAAGAGAGGGCAGTACTTGTGACGGGTTTAGAACTGACAAACACTGAAACTGGCTCCCAGTGTGCACAGGCAGCAGCAGCCTAGATCTGCCTCTCAAAAACCCGCCCACGCACCTAAACCCCAGCTAGAGCAGACCTCCCTCTTGCCTGGAAGTTTCTCGGGTCTTCCTCCAGTGCGACTGCGAACTAGCACTGCTGCTGCTGTGGCACCTAACTGGACAGGAATTTCTCTTGTGAAAGGAGAAATCTGGAACAATGCCACTTTTTAAAATGAAAAAGCCACCTTAATGTCCTATGTTACCTTAGAGCTTAATTTATTATACATTACTTTAAGAGTCTTCATTTACAAATGAAGTCACTTCATCTAAATACAGTTTCAACACATGGTACATAATAATATATGATGGTTTATTGTAGATGATGGTAACAAATAACTTCTATCTAGAAATTCAACAGGAAGAAAATATTTTGTCTCTGGTTTCACAGGTTATAGATAGAGTATCCGTGGTATATGACTGCTGAGAAGTTTTCTTCTTTGCAAAAGTATGTTAAAAGACCTCATATATATCCCATTCCATCAAAAGGATCGTTAAACAGTAATAAACCGAAGTGTGAGAGTTCACAGGCTTTTCTAAAGTAAGTCAAACAGAGGTTTGTTCACTAGAGTTTCTGTCTCTGGTGAGCAGCTCACTGCAACTCCATTAATAAGTGCATTATTTTATTTGCATGCTTTAGCTGTCTTGAAGATCTTAAATTGTTATCTTCTGAGATCCAGATGCATGCCATATGGTGTTTGTGCAACTAAAAATGAAGGGGTCTATTCTCGTCTCGATGTGTGGGGAATCCCTGAACACCAAGAGAAGAACATATCCTTAAGGGTTAAAGGAGGGAACACATTTTTATTTGATTACAGGGCTTACGGAAGTGACTTATATTTGCTACAAAGAATATAAATCAAAAGCTCTGTAGTTGTTTTAGGATTCTGGAAACGGCTTATCTTAGGCTTCACAACTCCATTCCCTAGGAAACTACTTTCAAACTGAATTATAAAAAGTAATATTTTTGCTTGCTGTAACACAGCGCTACACAAACATCCTTTTCCTCCATTAAGACATTTGCAGTGGTGCACTACAGAACGGGGCTGGAGAGGAGGTTGGACCGTAGGAGACTGTAGACCTGCTATGGCTACAGCTCCCCCCACCCCATAAATCACATACTTTCTACTACCTTAACAGCAAACATAATTAAACACAAAGCTTGATTTGTATCACAGTATTTGGGGGAGGGGGGGGAAGGGAGGAAAAAAAAAAAGCAATAAAATACATAGATACTCCCCCTCCCCACAATATATTGCCTCGGTCCGCCATCTACAAGTAGATCTATGAGACAGCACTGGATCCATTGCACTATCTTCTCAGGACAATTGCAAATAAAGGTGGTATCAATTTTAATATTTTTCTGAATAATCATATCAAAACTGATAGAGACTTAAGCTGTCGCGAAGGTTTAGCTAAACAGCCAGTGCCTTCATTAATTCTGGCACCTAGAAGTGGAGAAACAGCTAGTTGCACCCTGTCTCATTAGGGAATGCTTTTACAAATTTGTGATGCTGTCTCTGAAAAAATAAATCCCGTGCCCCTTTAGCAATCAAATGTCAGTTTAATATCAACTCTGAGTGGCAATTTCCAGTTAGTAAATTAAATCTGTTTTGCAATCTCTTTCACTATACTTGCCATTTAGGACAGTAAAATGGGTCTGTGAAAAGTATTTTCTTCTAAAGAATTTATGATTGTCATTTAATTTATCCACTTATATTTTAGGTAGATGCCAATGTGAGTATTCAGATTTTTCAGCTTTTGTTATTCAACATGTACCTGGAATTGCACCAGATTAAGCTGCTTTCCATATAAACCAACAGCAAACACAGGTTCTAATGATACAGGCTTTACAAATCATTAGGAATTGAATAATACTATGCAAAATGGACACTGCAAAGCAACTTTCTGGATCTAACCAGGACAGACATTCGCTGGAGAGCAGGCAGAGCAATCTCGCAGAAGCATTATCACTTACAAAGCAAACTTACCTTGCATTAATGAGGTACTGTGCTAAGCTGATGTTTGCAGGGGATCCTGTGATTGTAACTTGTCGTTCTGCGGAGCCTTCTGTGGCATTAGCAATCTTGATCTGCGCTCCTGACATCTGCCTGATTTCATTTATCTTACTGCCTTGTCTGCCAATAATGCAGCCTATTAACTGGAGCGGGACAAAGACTGAGATTAGTGCCACAGACACAAGCAAAAACCACTTAACTGCTATTTGTAGTGTTGATAAAAACATGGTTATGAAAGCCTCAATATCAAACCAAAAGATTTTTGCTGTGCTGTTTGGAAGGAATAACTAGCGCGGTCTATTGGCTCTATGGTCATACGTCTCTGAATCAACCTGCTACATGGTTATCAATCAACTCAATATCAGATTATTTAGCTGTCTTCCATGGCAGAAAATGACAGCGTGCCATGGTGCTGATGAATACAAAACACAACCCAGTCTGACTTGCCGGTGGCAGCAGCAAGCCAAGCGCAGCAGCTGGCAATCAGGCTGACCACCCAAAGCTGCTGCCGTGCGGCTCTGCACCCTTCCAGAGTGCTGCTAGTCCTAGCCCTCCCTGGGCACACGTGGTCCTCACTTGGCCAGGCACTGAGCTATTAAAGTCAGTGGGATTTACAGCTCTGTAACTGCAGGCAGAAGCAGGCATAGGAAGAGACTGAAACTTGTTTGTGTTCCTTTACAGAAACTTAGCAAAACTCATACATTGTGAATAAAACTGAGCTCGAGTTGTGTGTGCGTGTGTCTCCCTAGATCCCCTCAATTTTTTTGGTAAAATTGCATTGGTGTTATCTTCAGTGTTTTAAAGGTTGTTTAAATGTTCTTGGTGGAGTCACAAGCTCGTGGAAGCTGTGTGCAAGACCTCGAGAAAGTGTTTCGCAGCACACGTTACCGCTGCAGCTGCAACTGGGGTACGGGAGTGTGATAGCTGTGCCAGGGTGTTGCTCCTCCAACACAGGGAGCCCCCACGAGCAAGTGGGCACCAAGCCAGCAGCTGAGGCTGAGATGTTTTGGCTTCTGTAAGGGTGAGGAGGGGGACTTTTGTTTTATGTTAAGGAAGGATGGGTGCCGAGAAGCTCAGCAATGGCCAGAATGGGTAGAAAATGGAAACTTCACTCTACAGGTCTCAGCTGACACTGGGATGATGTTGTCAGTTTGGCAGAAGGACGTGCCAAGATGCAGAGACTGCTTTCCCCTCCCACCCTTCCTGCTGCTTCAGGCCCTGAGATGTTACCCTTTCTGGTACTGTAGTACTTGGAGTATCTTGCCAGAAACAGATTCACATTGTCCAGAAACAGATTCACATTGTCCAGACATTTTATCAAAAGAAGACCAACCCCCCCCCAACGTAATCCTTGCTTCATGCTCAGGGACAAGCAGGAAGCCAAAGCAAGTACCTGGGTAGCCGAAACAGAGACCAAGCGCAAGAGGAACACCCATGAGGGGGAAAAATGGGGTTTCAGGAAATGCACACAGGATTTCATGTCCTGTTCAAAGAGGAGGGCCTCTCTGTCCTTATCCGGAGGACCTGTCTTAGGATGTGACTGCACGTGCCAGTGCAGAGGACCTATGTGATCTTCACCGGGAAGCCTCTAGCCTGTCTTTGTGCGAACACGAATGTGCCTGTGCACGCTAGCTGTTAGGAGCACAGGGATCCCTAAGCATCCGCTTCCTACGCCTCAGCCTCACTGGCCTCCACGGTCCTCAGTCAGTGAAGGTGAAGCAGGAGAGAAGAGCACCCAGAGCACAGGTGGTAGCACCAGAGCCAGCCAGTGGTGGGGTTTGGTTTTTATTAGAGTATGCCATCAGTGTGAGGAAAGCAAAGGCAGTCCTACCAGAGCATCATTGTACAGGAAAGCTGGTGGCACTAGATCCACTCCTATCTGTTAAAACCTGGTGATGGACTTCCATAATTTTGTTCTTGTGAATCATTTGCATGCCATACTGTAGCTATAATTTACCCAAATCTGGTCAGACGTGTTCACTGCTGCAGAAGCAGAATGGAGCACAGAGCAGGGAAAACCTTGGGTCATCTTTACTTGACTGCTAGCCAGAGTGGTTCCCCCAGATATCGGAGTGGCTTGAAATGGCCAACAAGAGTGGAGGCTGTCAGTATTTCCTTCTGCCACAACAAGCATCTAATTGTTTTTGCGATGATGATCTTGAAGCGACCGGTCAAGAATCCGTCTGTTGCTACTGTGATCTTATGAAGCAGTGACCAGGATTTAGGCTCTGTGAAGCAGCTGTTATGGTGCCCCTCACGTCTTCAGATTCCTCTGATACTTCTCACCCGATGTGCAGATCTGAATATGCTTCTGGTTGCTTTAATAATTATGTCCTAAGTGTCAACAGGAAGATGTAGACCGCACATATTCCCTCAGTCTGTCCAAAGCAGAAGGGTGGAAATCTGATAAAACTACTTGGTGTAAAAAACATGCAAAAATATATTAAAATATATTATTTAGAAGAATTTCAAGCAGTCCCATTCACAGGCGTGGTTGTCATTGTGGCATTCAAAACAGAGGAACTGCGTGGGACCGCTGGTTCTTCAGGCACGTTGTGAGACATAGTCTTACATGTCTGGTTGACCAGCTCTGAGAAGGCACTTGCCGGGTCACTCAGGAGGCTGCCACTTGTATGTGCTGGGGGTCCTCCAACGAGGCTTGCAACCCAGGTGGGTCAGTACAAAGAATTTGCAGTCTCCTAGCTGACTTTAAGTTAAGATTCAGTCCAGATCGGTCAAGGATATCGGTGATGCAAGCATTTGGAAGAGAGGTTCAGTAACCTTCGGTCTGAAGCTCTCCAAAGTCATCCTTTGTTGCTGTGACAATGGGCTGCTTGAACATGCTCTGCAAGTCGTGACACAACCTGCAGCTCACGCAGAATGCACTTCTCCATTTGCCACGCAGGAAGGACAATAGTGCTGGAGTGCTTGGGCTCTCTCTGGGGTGCCTTTCCCATTATGTATTACTTACGCTGAAATTTGTGCAGTATCTGAATATTCAAGAGCTGATGGGTTCTGGAAGAAGTTCAAGGGACTGGTGTTCATCTAGAAAGCTTTGATCAATCAGGCCATGCACGTTTGGTTTTACATAAAAACACCTGCCCAGCCTTGCTTTGAGATGAAGCCATGTCAAATTGCATCCAAACACGTATCTCTTTTCAAAACTGACTTTCTAATTCTGTCAGCTGCCCCCCTGTCATTCTGTAGCTGGCCATTTCACATGATTTGGCAGGCTGTGTGTAATTCAGTCCCTCAGCACAAAAGCAAGCTTCCCCAGACTTTGAAAGTTGCTACCTAGCATGCAATGCTGCGTGTTTCACAAACATGGGTTTGCTGCTTTTCCAAGCTCAGTGGACAGAGTTAGGGAATGTGGAGGACAGTAAACATATAGCTATTTTCAAGGACTTTAGGTGCTGCATTATTTTTGATGCTCACCTGCTTGCTCAACATACAGTGAGCCTTACTCTCACTTACGGAATAAATCAGGAGGAAATTCTCCAGAAAATAAGTGATAAAGCTGGCCCATGTGAGAGAGGAGCAAACCTGCTATAGACTATACCAAGCCTACTATGCGCTATAGTATAATACATATACCATAAATATATAGATATATAATATATATAATATACACATAGGTACATACACACACACACATAATATGTGTATGTATATGAATACATATTTTAACTCTCTCAAGACTTGAGCGGAACAGCTCAAATCAGATGTGCACCTAGCCCAGCTGCCTGTCTCTGACTGTGGCAGCAGTACACACTTACCAAAAAAAGGGATAAAAACAGTGTGAGGTATAAAACAAAGTTTCCACTGGTATCCCAAATTCCCACCTAAGGCTTACAGACTGCCTGAGCAGCAGCTGGTATCTCTGCCATTATGCTCAATAGTCCGTGTGTCTGACAATTTCTTTTTGAACCTGTTTCTTCCTCTGCTGCCCAAGAAGGGCCATAGCAGTGACCTGCAGAGCTTGCTCGTGTGTTGCCTTTAAGTGTCACCATTTGTCCGTACATCTCAAAATTTCAGCTGACGTCCCCACCTTCTTGGACTGTGAGCACCAGGGGAAAACTCTTTCCTTTTCACTTTCTCTACACCGCTTCCGATCTGTTTTCCCCTACCTCAATGCACCTAATTTCTCCTCATGTCAAAAAACCCCCAAACAAACCAACCCTAAAACATGGATTCTGCTTTTTGCCTTGTTCTAGTTTTACTCTGTCCTTCACTAAAGTTCTGCTGGTACCAATGTAAACAGGGCTGAATCAGGAGTCTGGACTCCTAAAGAGTGGGACTGGAAGGCCTATGGTGGTTCCTCCTGCCCCAAGCTCTTGATGCTGATAGTTTCTCCCAATACGCTATGCCATCTGTGGTTCAGGTCCCTCTCTTCCATTTATTTTCTTCCCCATAATGCTAAATATATTTTTTTTTCCCCATAATGCTAAAGTCACTGGCAGAGCCTAATAACAACAGCTTTCTGCTAGGTGTTTCCTACAGGTTCGTTCCTCTATGTCCACCGCACTGCATTACTTCTGCGCAGCACTGGGAGCAATCAGACTTTTAGTTTTTGGTTTATTATCCAAGTCCAATGCTGCAGAGTATTGCTCGTCACAGGAAGTGGCACGGAGCTCACTTTCTTTTTAAATACCAGTAAAAAAATCAGATTTCTTTCTTATTATGAATGTAGTGCTGGTAAAAAGGGCCAAGGAAGTAACCTCTGCAACTTGATATCTGCTGTCCGGAGCAGAGGGGTTGACCATACGTGTCCACAGGTACACGTGGTTCCCCTTGGTTCCCTGCTGCCAACCCAGAGCAAGTCCATTGGCTTTGGCAAAGCCTCTATATTAGCTGAGCACGCAGGTGCTCATCATGAAGGAGACTCTTCAATCGCTTTTCATAAAGTTACAGGCTTTAGAGCTTTGGGTTGGGTTTTATTTTTATTTAGAAATGCTGGGGCAGAGCACTCTATAGGGAGAAATAATCTCCTGAGGTATGATTACAGTTCTTTACGGATTTACCGCAGGGCCTGGAAAGAGATGCTTAAATACTCTGTGCCTCTTAAAAAACACTAACAACAACAACAACAACAACAACAACCACCTTCACGTTCCTTGCCAGGATAATGCAACATCTGGACTATAATGATTTCACAGGCTTTGCAAGAAGGCATGTAGAAAACTGAGAAAACATGTTCAGAAATGAGCTTTTAGAAATGAGCCTTCTTATTATTTGCTTTGTAACCAAATCACTCTGCAGATTTGTGTGCATTTCAATTTATGGAGGGCCCAACACCAGTTCCCGTCCTGTTCCCTGAAGTGAGCAGTAGGTGGTTCTGGGGGGAATTACTTTTAATCCTAAATAGTGCCTTGTACCCACAAATGGTCTCACTTTGCTTCTGATGGATATTAAGTCTGCATAATTTTTAATGAGACTGATTTTTTTTTTATTATTATTGGTTTGTTCATTTACTCTCAATGGGCATTTTGGGGGATTGGATCATAAAATCTTCAGACATCTGTTATCTGTGCCCAATTGGCTACACCCAGGGTTACCATCCCTTCTGTTCCCTTAAGGACGTGCCACTGTTAACACCGCTTTATTCTGGGATTTATATGAAACACACATATTGTGTAACTTAGGCAGCAGGGGAAGGCCAGACAAGATCCCAGCAAGGAAAGAAAGGCAACCAAATGCCCCTATGAGAGGTTTTGATGAGGAAAAGGAGATACTAGATAAAGATCAATGTCCTCGAGAAATGTCCTCTCTGTTCTCTTTTTGGAGATACCCAGAAGTTATGAGAAAACCTAGAAAGGCAAAATCTTCTGAATTCATTATTTGGAGAGGAACCCTCGGCTTTTAGCATGTGGACAATTTCTGCAAAATGCATTTCTTTGTTCTGTGGTTTCTCTTTGTTATTAAGCAACAGGTTAGTTGCAATTATCAGCATACTGTATGAAGAAAGCAGCATGATGTTGTTACAGGAATTATTAATAACAGGAAAAAAAATTTTTATCACTGCCTTAATGCCAGAGCGAGTGAGGAAAATTTATTTTAATATGAAGCTATGCAAATTGTAGACTAGGCTGAAGCCTGAGCTTATTCTCTGATTTTGCTCCATCAGATTCTTATGGAGACTTTGGCTTTATGTGCTTATCATTACCTTGGTTTTAAAAAATAAATGTAGCACATGTAGATATACAATGACTTCTCTGGTAGCTGCAGAGCATGTAGATATTTGCAAGTCTCATGTTCTTTCATATGTGCTGGAGTTTGCACGTGTAAGCACATATGATAAGAAAGCCAGGGGACTCGTGCAGCACAGGGGATGCCTGGAGTCGGGGCAGGCAGGGGACTGGCCACGTGCAGCGTCGGGGCTGCACCACAGCCCCGTGCCAGGGCCTGCAGCTTCCTTCACCTTCAACCAGATAAATAATCGCCGTGCCACACCAACTGCCTGTCTATCAAGATGGGACTAGGAGATGCTTATCGGGAAAGGGAAGTCAAATTACCCATGCAGGCTCTGCTGCACAACTGCTGTTGCCTCTCCCAGCCTGATCTCCCTCCGTGCACAGCATCTGACTGACAGGGCACATACGAAACACGGGTGCTGGCGCCTCCTCACCCGGCTCCCTCTCTGCCCCGTGTCCCTCTGTCTCCCGCGTCCCCTCGTTTTTAGCACTGGGATGCCCACAGAGCAGCCTTGCTGCAGCGGTGATGGGGTTGCGGGATACCAGTATGCAAGGTTATGCCGGGACGGTACCCTCTTGCTACTGCAGCCTGAGGACAACCTGGCAGGGCACTGCTGACAGCCTGTGGCACAGGCAGAGCAAACGCCTTGGGGACACGCACGGAGAAACTGTTTTTCCCCCTGCAAAATTCCCAAGCAGCCCTTGATGCCCGACGGTACATGAGAGCCCTTCCTCCCCTCTGCACCGGCACCGCAGCACCGGGCGCGCGCGCACACACACACGTGCGCACACATGAATGTGGGCAGCACTAACGCCTTTTGGTCCTTTAATGCACACCTTGACACCGTACGAACATCAGAACTCCCTTTCACCACCTGTAGAGCCCCTGCAGGCTGTTTCTAAGCCTAACCCCAATTTGGCCTTGGTTTTGCTCCTTTAGCAAGAACAGCAAGACACGCACTGCGCAGCCAGAAAAATCTTCCATTAGAAACAACGCACGGATGTGTGTTTGTTTTTCAGAGGATAGTGCTGAGCCGGGGCATTTCATACCTCCCGGATGAGAAACTGACGGGTTTTTTTAATTTTCTACTGCACTACAGGACACAAGGCCAACTTTCTCCCTCTCTTTCTCTGCTACGAACCCTGAAAGAATTGAAGTCAGAAGAGTGACCTTGGATTTATACCACTGATGGCAAGAGCAACATCTGCCTGAAGGTGAGATTAAAAAACTTGTGCTGTAAGGATAAATAGGGTGCTCCCATAAAATTCTCAACATAGAAGAAATTGGGTTGTAAAGCAGGTACTGATAAATCGTCAGGGCATCTTTTAAGTAACAGAAAGCTTATGAAATCACAGAACTCACACCTTCACTTCTTTGTTATTCTGTATTTTTTTCTTACTGTAAATCATTGCCACTGAGTTTAATAGGGCTTACACAATATTATAAGTATCTCTTAAGTAATATAATTGCTATTTGTGATCCCACTCATGCTTGAAAGCTTTTTTTACTGGAGGGGAAATCTTCCATTTTCCAAGTGACTCATTTGTAATGAAAACTGAGAAAGAAGACCCCTGTTTGCAATGAAAGTAAATAAAACGGGGAGGCATTTTTATATGACATGCAGCGTATCAGTTGGGCATTTTGAGTAATTCTTTTAAGATTCAGCACCATACTGCTCATGAAGACTGGGTCTGTCGATCACAGCCAGTCCAGAGTTGTTGGAGCAGGCATGTTTTTAGCCCTTTTAGCCCTTGTTTTTCAAATAAACACTTATATTTCACCTTTACGTAACTGAAGTAGCTTTTTTGTTCAGGAAAAACACCGTCTCAGATAAGTGCAGGTGCAGCGGAGACTGGCACGGCACAAGCTCTCCACCCCCTGGCACGGAGGACTCCAGCCCAACACACAGCACACGGGGCTGCACGTTTTTCCACCCCCTTTAGCCTTTCTGCTGAGACCACCCGTGCTAGTGCCACCTGAGAGATGAATTTTGATAACTCATCTAAGACCACTGTAGGCAGCAGGCACCCAGGCTTTAACGAAGCCGGTGAAGCATCGAGGTGCTGGCACCGTCGTGCAACTAAACCAGCACTGCTGGAGACCTGACACGAGAGGGGACAGTCACTTCTGCTGCTTCTGTCCAGCATTTCACTAACCCCTAGTACCCCCTCCCCAACAGACTAAATGCCGTACAGTTTATCCTGGCGACTAGCATTTACAAATCAGCCAAAGATGAGAGGTTTCCCCTCCGGCGGCAGAGGAGCGAGAGAAGAGAAAGTGATACTGACTATTGGTCCACTTACATCATTGGGAATAGTAAGTTCATGGGAACTGGTTGGAGTAGTGGCATCCAGTCCTATTCAGGGGACAGAGGGAAAATGTTACACCAGTTGTTTGCAAGAAGGGCAAGACACAACAAATGATATTTTAAAGAAGGAAACATACAGAAAGAAGGGGGGGGGGGCGGGGGGGAAGAGAGAGGAGCAAAGAAAAATAGAGAACTGCTAGCAAAACAGAAAAGAAAGCAAGAGATGCAGAACTCAGAGGGCTGGACTAATTTTAAATGAGTCTTATTTTAATTAACCTTTAACCCACCAAAGCAACAAATGTCACATGAGATTCCACAGGGTCATAAAAAGCTTCTAGAAAATGAAGGGTTTCCCCTAAAAATAGTCTCTGAAGTTTGTTCTAAACACATCAATTGAGAAATTAATGGATGGCTGAAATTTGACCTGTCTACCGGGAGTTCTAGAATATGGAAAATTAAAGTGGAAGTCGAACGAACAACTAGCAGAACAAAATACATAGATATGAAAAAGAAAAATTAATGAATTAAAATAAGGATGAGGAAATTAACCTAGGAAAATTTGGAAATTATGTGTGGGATTAGTCGCTGAAGAAATGTTGGGAAGGGTAATTTTTGAAGGGAAATGTACAAGATACTCTAAGCCGCATACATTTGTTTGTAAATTGGGTGGACAAAAGGAAAATGCTCAGGAAAAGTGGACTTACTGCTCTAACACACAGTAACATTACAGAAACATACATCTCACAAATACAACCAGGAAAAGATTAAGGAGCAGCATGTTAATGACAAGAATAAGGAAAATATAAAGCTAGGAAAGGCAATTTAGTATTACTTGTAGATATTTTATCAGATACATCATGAAGAAACAAAAATGTATTTTGGATGTCATGTCTCTTTCTCTCCTTTTCTCTTTTTTTGGTGTTTATTATTATTGTTATCTGTAAAGACAAGCCAAAAATACTCATTTCTAACTAGAAAAGATGGAAAAGAAATACTCTTACAAAAAAGTGACTCACCTACATTTTACTTATGTTTACATTCAATTAAGAGTTGCATATGCTTATTTTACATTGAATATAAAACAATCAAGTTGCTCACAGAATTTGATGTATGTGATAAAATGTTATTTGCCATACAAAGCATGTACCAGTACATATGTACTTCTGTTTTGTAAAGTTTTTAGATGCCAAGCATGTATGTAGTGAAGTACAGTAAAAATGATTTTTTGCAGGGTTAACTGACTTCTCACTCTTGAATCAAGAATTCAGCTTCAGCTTTAATAAGTATGGACCAAATTTGCAGTCCTTAATTATCTAAATTTCCATTGCATTTTGTAGCTATATCTGCATACCTAGTAGGAAGAGAGGCACTTGTTCCAGCAGTGATGTTTACAGATGCTCTTAAGACATTTGGCTCTACAATGGATTCGAGTTTCAGCGTGCCGTAATTTCTTTCATCAGTATTTCTGTACCACGATTACATACTGCTTTCCTGTGTTTGCTTCTTTCTGAACCATGTTACCAAAGTGGAAATTTGACGAGATGCACGCCCAAGTACTTCACTCGGGACCAGCTGGTACATACCGTATGGTCCATAACAACTTTACAAGGACTGAACAAAAGAAACTCAGGGCTTTTAGCCGATGGCACAAATGAAGCGGTTTTGATTAAATAAATGTAACAAACAAAGCGCGTTTTAGTAATGATGAAAGGAACTGTAACAGAGGCACAGGGAGGGGACAACAGAGATTACTGTGTAAAAACAAAAGGATAGCTGGTCATTGACCACATTTATTATTAAAATGATGTAATGACCACGGGAAACAAAGCTGTTAAGAAGAAGGACATCCCCAGGGAGTCATGGGTACGTACCAGGGAAACCAGGGGTGGTCTGCCCAAGGGGAGTAAAGGGGGGATGCTGCATAGCCAACTGGTGAAGCTTGGTCAACTGCAGGGCAGGATGGGAAATTAGAACTAACCAATCAAATGGAATTATTTCAGAGCAGAGAAACCATCTTACATGTTCTAAAACTGGATTAATTAAAATTATATTGAAAAAAAAAAAGGTTTAATCATTCATTCTAATCTACTGTAGAGAAAAAAAAACCAACCCAAACTGGTTATAAATGACGTCTCTACTGTTATTACATGTAATGGCTATTGTTAATATTAACTAATTACTGTAGAATTACATATTAAAAGAACTCAAATATATCACATGCAAAGAAAGACCAAGAAAACTGTCATTTGTTCCTGGGCCATTGTACTTTCTAGCAATTATTAGAAAAGGTAAGAGATGCAGTTGAGCTAACACGTGGCTCTACAGTGTGTTGTTCAGGAAAGGTGTCCTTCGGCTGTGTCTTTATTGCTAACTGCAGAAAGCAAATGTTGCCCAGAACAAATAAGAGGGTGAGGAAGAAAAAGGGAGTAATTTACATGCGCAGGACTCACGTCTGGATGAGGGATGGCATACTGCCCCTGAATCGTGAATGCCTGAAAACAACAAGCACAGTTAAGACACAGGTCAGTCAGGTGGGACAAGCAGCGTTCCTGTTTTCATCAGAAAAGCTCCTCCTAGCTCCCCAGGCGAATGCCACCCGCATCGCTTTCAATGCTGAGTGAAGCTTAATGGTCTTGTGCTGCTTGATAACGCTTGGCATGGGACAGGAAGATCTTAGCTGGGCTGCCCGCATGCCCCTTGCAAGCAGGGGATGCCAACTGCCACTGCCTGAGCTCTGGTGATCCCGCTCCTCAGGACCCCTCTTCAGCCCAGCTCCATCTGCTGGGAGCAGAGCTGGGGACACGATGGGGGCTGAGGAGCATGGGGGTTGGCCTCTTCCCCATCCACCACTGATGCACATGGGGAGATGCTGATGTTGGGGCAGCAAGGATAGGGCAGACCCGCCCGGGGGATGCCCTGCCCTGATACCCAACTCCTGACTGCCATGTGCAGCTCTGAGCCACCTCTCCTGCCTACCGACAGCCACAGATGCTAAATGCCAGCAAATGTGTGTCCTGGTGCACCCCATGGGACTCATGCCCCAGGCTGCCATGCCAGCGGGTATGTGAGCACGCATGCTGGATGGCAGCCTGTCCTGCAGTGCCTGGGCATAGGGCCAGCATGCCAGTTTGGAGATAGGAGCATGATGGAGACCCCCAGCGAGGTGGTCTTATCTTCCACAAGAAGCCAAATATCCCCCCTCCAAACCCAGCCTCTCTGCACAAGAGCAGTGCAAGGGGTATAGTTTCTGGCATCACTCCTGGCAGCACTGGAGTGAGGTGGGGGAGGCAAAAAAAGCATGTGGGCGAGGAGGGATACAGTGGCATGTCTGGCACTAGTTAGCACAGCCCTTTGTCTCTCCTGCTGGCTCTGTTCAACTCTCTGTAATGGCCTACAAAGAAAAAACTATAGAGAGTTTATAATTTTCTATTATATCCTGTAGGGCTTTTCTGAATGCAATGGCATGTCAGAAAAATTTTAATGTGCTTGTGCTTAGATAGGCAGGAAAGCAGAAAGACAAATTATAATGTATAAATATTTGTAGTGGGAGAATTATAAACAGGAACAGAGCTGATTAGCTTAGTCTGCAAAATGCTTATTTGACAAAAGGCCTCTTAGAAAGTAATGAATCCTCTGCAAATGATAAAACAATTCATTTAATGGAGTTCGGATATTAAAACCTTTAATGCCCCAATGGCTTAATGCACATTTCTGCAGCAGAATTTCCCTTCTTGAGAAGAAACATTTCATTTAGTTTTTAAATTAGTTATAAAGCAAGAATGCAATCTGGCAAACCTTATGCACATGAGCAGTTTTCAGGCAAAAGTGCGCGTGACTGGGCTCAACGGGATGCTCATGGGCATACATACTCATGTGCATCTACAGGGGATGGCCATTACAGACAGTTTATAAATGACAAGAAAAGGTTCCAGTTCTCCAAAACGGGGGATCACTGCTGTCAGTGGCTCTGAAGCAAGCACATATTCAGGCAAGCAAAGCATGTGTTTAGGTGTTTTACCAAATGAGGACAACCTTAAGGAGATGTTACGCTGCTTTGCTGAGTGGGAGCTCTGTGCGTAGCCAAGCACAGGAGCAGCCTCAGGGAGGTTATGGCTGGAAATGGCACTGGGTGGGGGGTTAGGTCCATGAGCAAACAGTGGGTTTGGAAACCACGCTTTGGTCTCTGAGCCTCTGTGATGGATCACAAGTGCCCTTTCTGATCTTGGCTTTATTTCAAACCCAGCTGAGAGAACATCTTTTACACGGGTGCTTCCCAAGCAGCGGTCTGCAAACCAGCAACAAACCACCACAAAAAAATCACCAGCGAACGTCATAGAAGTGACCCCTTTCCTCGTCACTCTGCTCCCTCATACTTCCACAGATGAGGAAGCAAACAAACTGGAGAAATAACAAAAATAATGAACATTCAGAGCTCAGACTAGCTTTTATTTGGTTGTCAACGAAAACCATCAAAGATCGTCCAAACCATGGACAAGATGGGTCTTGAATTTTCTTTCCCAGTAAAAAAAAAAACCCTCTTCATTTCTTAGGCTCCCAAAAGGTCATTTGATGAATTTAGGTTGAGAAAAACGGTCTTTGACTGCTTTATCCCTTGGCAGAGGAACCGTGCCCTTCTGTGATTGAGGCATACTAAGTACCAGCCTGGTAGAGGCTGTACTTAGACATCTGTACTGTAACGTTTCACTAAGGACATGAGCTACGGGTCTGCTTCCATCAAGTCAAGGGCAACTTTTCTACTGACGCACTGACATTAGTAACAGCAGGAAGGACCTCGTCTACAAGCCTTCCTCAATTTAAACCATAAAACTGCTATGAGACATAAAGCAAAGCTGTACCCTGTGAGTACCCATCTAAAGAGCAATGTGGCACAGGAGGTAGAAATTTCCAATTTGTTTCCATCAGGCAGGAGTGCTGGATGTATTTTTTTTTTAACCACTGCATATGCTAAATATTGGTAAGGGGTGGGGCAGAGCAGGGCAGGACAGTGTTCAGCTTCCTTTTAGTTCTGTCATGCAATACAGTATCGAAGAAGCACAAGAGAATTAAAAGCAATGCTTAAAGCAGAAGAACCCCAACTTGTTAAGGAAAACTAGAAATTTGATTTTGCTAGCGTTGTTTGATATGCAAACATTAAACAAACTAAAACCTTTCAAGATAGCCATGATGTAATTTAGAATGGAAAAATAACTTCTGATAGCGTAGCCAAAATGTTGGATGAAATTAACACTGCTGATAAAATTTTATTTTCAGTATCAATTTCCACTTACGAAACCTGCTTAAAATGTCTTTCCATACTGATGCCCAAACACACCTTATGCATTTTCTTAAAAAGTCTGCTTAGTCAGAGCACACAGAAGTTCAAGGCACA